TGTACGCCCCTCTTGTCCTTGGTGCCAGCACGGGCGCCACTCCAGATGATCACGTACCCGTCGTGTGCAATTGAACCTTGCCCCTCCCGTCGGGTCTCCTGAAGTCCTATCACATCACAGCCGGTCGCCGAACAAATCTGCATGACCGTCATCACGTTGTGACCGATGGGGTTCCTACAACTGTAGGCGAGCGTGCGTACGTTGAACGTGCCGAACGATAGGTCGCCCTCTCGTGCCTTCTTCTTCGCAGTTGCCTTGACGGCCGCTGCGGTCTCGTGTCTCTCTCGGTCCACCTCGCGTTGCGGGTGTGCTTTCTTCCGTATTTCCGAGAGGCGAGTTTCCTCGCCTCAATCCATCTCTGCAGAGCTCGGTTCTTGCCTGTGGTGTTTTGACGAGGAGGGTGCAGCACTCCCTCCCCGCGGTGCCCGCGGTCGTCTCCCTTCTCCCGCGAGCGGTGCTTACTGACGTGGTGTTTACGAATCTCTCTACTCCTCCAGCTTCGTGGGCCACGCTTTCCGCGACGGTGGTTGCCACGTGCAGTTTGCCGCTTTGCATCACTGCCGCGTGAACAGTGTCCATACACACCTCTCGCCACTACCACCGTCTGTGCATCCTCACCGCCACGCTGAGCCAGCGTGGCGGTGAGTTGCACCTTGGGACACCACTCGCCTACTATCTGTGGTGGCCTGGTTCGCCTGCGAGGGACTCACTAGGTCGATTTCGGCCCCGGCCGGGGAGCAGGCCGAGGGGGGGGAAGGTCGTTGTGTGATGTGATGTTCCGATGAAGCACAGCAGCTGCTGTCCTTTTTTTTTCCTGCAGCCTTTCTGCGCCGGCGTATTTTCTTGCCGCGTTCAACTCCGTGGTCTCCACAAAATAACGTCCCGAGAACTTTCGTTCCACCCAAATCGAGAATTTGTCCTCTTATATCTAACTTTTGTTCCGAATCTCTCTGGACTACTGTGCATATACCACAGTACTATTAATAGCCTTGTCTTCGCATCCTACAGCAGTAGCTGCCGATCTCTGCCCCGCACGTTCTAACAGTGCCTAGCAGTGCCAGCTGCGTCATCAAGCACCACACTAAGGTGTATGTGGGAACCGAATCTCCAATAGATCTTGTACGTCATCTCCGTAGAGTTGGACCACAAGGTACTGCTGTAGAGCCTATCGGTAAAACTCCTGTTGTACATATGTGTAGTTTTACCGATAGGCTGTGCACAAGGCCTGTGGACTACTAACGCAACAATACTTGCAGAGCGGGCCCGCAACACGTACAAACTCAGAGTTTCACGGCAAGCATTGATAAGGAATTACAAAACTCAGCACACTGCTCGACTTTGGTGACTAAATAAGAAATTAGCCAATGGATACTTCAAATTGCGGGTCGGTTCGTCGTTAGTCTGATCCTTGGACATCCCTCGAGCCTTAGGAGCGTCGGGCTGAGGGCCCCACTCTAGATTTTGCTCAGCGCTCTCCACGGTAGGGCTCACCATGTACATGTTCTACAGTGCAGAGTCTTGCAGCACCCAGCGCAGCTATGTAGACTATGTACTAAACTGTGGTCCGATGGAAAAGTGCTGAGAAAGTGGCGTTTCCCGACCACATCCACATTTGTGTCTAACCTCAGGGTTGAAGGCGGTGGCGGCGGCGGCGGCGGCGGCGGCGGCGGCACTTCCTTCACACCACGGCGGGGGAGTAGCTCGATCGGGGATGATGACGCTCAACCTGACGGAATTGATCTCATGGTGCCACGATTGCCTCCCTCGAATTCTGTAGGGGGTATGGATTTGGGATCCTCCACCCGCAACGCCGAGAACGACAGCGGCGGTGTGGGATCTGCAGCATTGGAACGAGATGGCAGCAGTGAACCGAGACTGGGAGAAAGGAGCAGCACGGGTGGTAGTGCCCATGTCTTACCAGCCGAGGACCAACGCCATCAGCAAGGAGGCTGGAGCCAGATTAGCGGCAGTCTCGCGGCCACCGGCAGCGGCCGACGAAGAAACGGCAGCACCGAAGGCGGCAAGCTTTTCGCCGAAGGTACTACTGTTCGAAGCGAGCGCGAAGATCAGCAGCAGCAACGCCCACGACACTCATCCCCCGCGTCAAGCAAGTCCAGCAACACCCCCACAGCCAACAAGCTACACCACCACCCCCACCCCCACCATCGCCAGCAGCCCAAACCACCAGGGGTGGGGACCGTCGAGTTTGCGACCCCGTCGCGGGTGCCGTCCGAACGCTCGCCCGTGGACTTCTTCGACAACCCTTCGTCGGGGGGCATTGCTTCCGCGGCCGTTACTGCTCTCAGTGGCGGAGGTAGTAGCAGTGGCGGTGGTAGCCGGAGTAGCGCCCCGTCCACCCCACCAGGCGGGCTTCCTCCCGCTAGATCTTCCCTGGTCAACGCTGGTACAAAGGCGCGAGGGGCTGGCCGGGCGTCCCCTTCGGTTAGCTCGACGAGGAGTATTTCTCCCGGCAGGCGTAACGGAGGAGGGGACGGAGGGAGTGGCGGTGGCAGCGGCGGCGGCGGCGGTGGAGGTGGTGTTGGCGTCGGCGGGAGTAGTCCCAAAAAAGCAGCTCGGCGGTCAAATGACAGCAGTCAAACCCTCGGGAGAAAGAGCGTGGACAGCCAGGGAGGGGTTTCTCACAACTTCAAGGTAGAATTTTCAAACTCCATTCACTGCCGTGCGCGCGAAGCGAGGCAAGAGGTGTCCGATCAGGCCATGCCTTTGTCGAAAATTGTGTTCCTATAGTGCGCGGGTCATGCTGTGTGCAGGACTATTGTAACGCTGCCCGTGGGCGCCGTAGCTAGACGTACGTAGTCTCCCTGGACTACTTCGGGGGCATTGTGGAAGGGTTCCTGTAGCTCCTATTCCGAAAGTCGTGATGCCCTCGGGGTAGCCATCCATCCATGCATGTTAACGAACGCTTGGTACTGCCGAGCGTTCTCCTTCATGTCGGTACAACCAATCAGGCCCCGAGGATTTGCGGCGGACTCTTGTGAGCATTGCGGTGACGCCATCTGCAGATTTCAGAATCGTCCTTGTTGCAAACTATGGCTCGAATTACCTTTGCTCAAAATCACCTTTTGGCTTTAGGGTTGCTTCATGAACTAGGCATTGACGACGTTCAGTATCTCGACAGCACGTTCTGATCAGGGCTACCTCGTATCCCCTGTTGTCCCTTAGGTCGTCATTCGCGTCCGACCTCCGCTGCCGCGAGAGGTAGAGGGGGAACGCATGTTCCAAAACATCGTGTCAGTGGACAAGGAAGAACACGTGATCACCATATCGGAGAATTTGAACGCCGTCCTCGACGACGTAGGTCATTGCTTCGGGTATTGGCCGTTTGATGACTAGACTAAACGTTTAAGACGAAGTCAGCCATGCTATGTTTCTATGTCCGAATGACGGTATGTTGTAGGTGGTGAGCACGGGCTGAACATATCGCAACAGCAGTGGTGTTGTCAAACACCAAACCTGGTAACAGGTGGCGGCTTGACAGAGAAAAGTTGCACAAAGGCGAATCTCTGGGCGAGTTGTCTCATGCGTCAACCGATTGAGCGCAGCAGTTGCTGCAGTTGCCGGACAGATGATTCTTCACTAGGCGCAGTCTATGCGTCATCCTTCGGGCATCCTGTGATAACCTTCGTAACGTTCGTGTGACGAAGGGTCTGGTTGTTTTTTGGAAAACATTTCTCTGTAATATCATTCTCATCCCCCGTTCTCGTGGAAAATGTCTTTGGACGGTGAATCTATGCTACCGAAAAGGCAGCGTCGTTGAACGCGAGCAGTATCCTTGTGCGAGCAACAAGATTGACGCTTGCGCCTTCAGCAGTAGTAGGATTGTCTTTATCGGTAAGCCCACTCGCCATCCGGTCAATGCATGAACCTGCTTCTCAGCGTCAATGTTGCCATTGACTGCAGGATGGGAGTGTTGTCAGTGCCGGAGGACCTTACAGCACCCATGCTTTCACCTTCGACCACGTCTACGACGTTTCGGCTTCGCAGCGGAAGGTATTCCAGCATCGTTTGGTGCATGCCTGGTCCGTTTGAATTAGTATCACCCGCAATCATCAGCCCTCACAGGATTGTCATGCTTTAGGGGAAGGTGATGTATCGCTGAACGCAAACCGCTGCAAGAAACCCTGCACGGAATCAGCGTCGCTGAAAATAAAACCCTCGGAGTTTCGTGCACGGAATCAGCGTCGTTGAAAATAAAACCCTACGAGTTTCGTGACTTGTGTTGAGAGCTTGGTCAGGGAATTTCTTGTACTTTACACCCATCCCTTCGTCCTTCCATCCTGGGCCTGCATTACCCCCCAGGTGTACGACACAACCGCAATGGAGGTCGTTGACAGCAGCCTTCAGGGCTACAACGCGACGGTGTTTGCATACGGGCAGACGGTGAGAGACTCCCACTGCCACGTGCCCTTCGATGATAGGGAGCCTAGAACCCCCCAGTACCTGACACATGATCCCTCAATGATATACTTTAGTATTTGCTCAGGTAAGCCCAGCCTCCTCCGAAGTGTCTCAGCGCATACACCTCCGTCTGTCCCAGAATCGCACACAACACCATGCCTTTTCTTTTCCGTCTGATATATTTCTCTCCCGATCGACCTGAAACACAGAAAATTACTCCTCGACCGCTGCACCTCCCGGCCTCAATCACAAACAGGGCACCGGCAAAACGTTCACGATGGAAGGTTTCAAGCGGGGGGCGTCGGCCGAAGACCGCGGGATAATTCCTCGCGCTATCGAGCAGGTGTTCGCCCACATACAGAGGAATGCGTCTCCAAGGTGGGAAACTGGGTGGGGCCAAGGTTTTAGCTCACACCGGCAAATAGCCAGAGAGGAAGTCAAACGCGGCCCATTCCTATGGCGTTTATGGCGAATTTCCAACTGTGCCTGGTTTTCTTCAGTACTGTGCTTCTCTATGTGCCCGTTATTTGTGCTCGACTGAGCCGCACTCGATGTCAAATCAACCCTCACGGAAATTCCAGGATGAGGTTTCTGGTTCGGGCCTCCTACCTACAAATCTACAACGAGCAGATATCGGACCTGCTCAAGCCGGAGAGGAACAACCTAACCATCCGGGAGGACAAGAAGAGAGGCGTGTTTGTGGAGGGCCTCTCGGAATGGGTGGTGAGCGAGATGGACGCGTGTGGACAAGCCATGCTGCTACTGTGGTGAACCGGCAGGGAGGTTCTGGCCGAATAGTCATCGTCCACTTAGACCAACTGTAATGGAAGCTCTGCAGTTCCTGAGATTTGGGTTTGTAGTGAGGCCGACAGGACATGCCACTCCGTATTTCGGTGCTATTATTTCCCGCAAAAACTGGGATTTCAAATCCCAGATACCCCGGAATCGCCTTGCCCGTTGCGATTTGGAGGCCCAAACCCAAAGAGATTTTTTGGCTGGGATTTTGGTCTGATGTCGTTACGCAGGCGTTGTTGCTCGCGCGCGGCATCAAATGCACGTTTTTTTCGCACATCGCACCTCCTCCGTGTCGCCATATGTACATGGTGATGATACGGATCAGATGTTCGATCTGTGTCTCGACTTACGGCCAATCGACAACATGTCCACGAGCCAGGCGCAGCATTAGATAGATCATGGTACCGCTGCTGCTGCATGCTCCCATTTCCAAGCCCACCACCGACCGTTACCTTTTTGCTTTTGTGGTCATTGGGAAGAAACCAACCGTCAGTTGGGGTTCTGGAGAGTTGACGCTAGTATTTTTCCGTTTTCTCACCATATGGAGCGCTGACATCAAAAATCGTAGCTGCTTCTCTGTTGGCCTGGGAATTTCCAGCTGATTATGTGGCTTCCAGACAAAATGAACACCTTCCATACGACGATTTTTCATGAACAGATGTGGAAACCGGGATACAGATATATATCTTCCTTGGGGTAGTGAAGCATATGTGACCAGTAAACATCTGGAGACTACCAACAACGTTTTACCGGTCCGAAGATATTTACCAAGAAAGATTCACGAAACACCTCAGCGAGTATTCCGGTGGATCTCGGAGATATGTATGGAGATGCCCGGGAAACCCCTCTCTCTCTCACTTCCACCTTGCTTGACCTGGCACGTCCGAGAAACCTCGGTCACGCTTGGCTAATTGTCACCACATACAAAGAGAGAAAAATACCCCCGCTGGTGAACGGATGATACTGGCACCGAAAAAATTGCAAGGAGTTGCTTCCAAATTTGGAAATCTGCAACATACTCGAAAGTTTGGAATTTGGAGGCACAGCAGCTGCGTTTTATGCGGTCCTTATTACCACTTCAGGGACTCTGGCGCTGTAGAGAGAAAGAGTAATATCAAAGTCACTCGTTGCCATGGTAGCTGCCAACGTTGTTAATATGTATGTCGGCAGGAGTTATTGGTGAGTTTCAAACACTTGACAACAGGTATGAGTGACGTACGCAACGAGTCCATGGGGGGGGGGTTACCCATTCTTGACTCTCGAGGACGCATGGATATCCGTACATGCCGCAGACCATGTGTCCTACCCCGTGCGCCGATTGTAGGCTTGCCATATTGTAAAGTTCGAAAATCTCTACAAAAAGCTGCGTTGCACTCCCCCCCGCACCCTCTCTGATTCTGGTCTCTTTTCCCCCAAGGTGCGAACTCCTGGCGAGATCTACGGGCTGATGGAGAGAGGTGGGCAGCTCAGGGCTACTAGTGCTACTCGCATGAACGACACCAGTAGCCGAAGCCATGCCGTGTTTATCATCATCGTTGAACAGGTACAGTACTTGTCGCGCACACAACGTGCACGTTGCCCGCTAAGAAACGAAGGATCCCTCTTCATGATTACACAGGATTTTTCTTGACAACAAATGTGTCTCCTCATAATTTTTTTGTCTCAACGCCTCATGTTCCAAACTCGGCACTGGGCAACCCACAAGTGAAAACGGTACCCTAGCAGCAAAGATACTCCCTCGCTCCTCACGCCACTGTCAGCACCGGACAACCAATTGTAAGTCAATGTTTCGCCTGTATCCTTTTTTGCACTGCTATGCAGAGCGAGACATCTTACACGGACGAGAAGGGAGAGAAGATGAGCCCCGAAACTCTGAGACAGCTCCTCAGGAAAGCCGGGTCCCAGGAGCGAGAAGCCCTATTGCGAAAGCTTGAGACCAACGCGCGTCAGACGTTCAAGGTGCAAAATGAAGGAAGGAAACACAAAGTAATGCGATCCCTCCATGGAATCAGGGAATACATCAATGCCATTGAGTGTCAACCCTGGCCAGGCGGGAGGCCTGCAGAAGCAAGGCAATGAATTCGGTAGTGTGTGACTACGCGGCCGTTCTCCCGCCTGCTGTTCCTAGGCACAACGGATACCGAAGGAATGAAAAAAAACAGCAGATCAGGAACGGGAATAGCGCAGAAAATCTACATCCGGGCAAGGACATTGAAAACCAGGCTCCAGTCCTAGACACTTTTACTACAGTTGTACGGCGTGGAATACCCTGAATGTCCAGGTCGGCAAACTCAACCTGGTGGATCTGGCGGGCTCCGAGCGTGTGCGGTTGTCTGGCGCCACTGGGCAGCGTTTACGAGAGAGCAAAAAGATCAACCAGTCGTTGTCGGCCCTTGGGAATGTCATTTCGGCGCTAACCGACCACCGGGGCAGGCAGCACATCCCGTACCGCGATTCGAAGCTAACTCGAATCCTAGAGGACAGGTAAGTAATGAGCTGTTGGCTTCGCATTCTCCCTCATCACAGCTAGCTCTGAGTCTCGATGAGAGCGTCAGATCCACGTGCCAGAGTTTGTTTGCGCCTAGGGGTTAGGGTTTGGTCCGGCCTGGGGTGCCCCACTGCACGCCGAACCTCCTGCTGATGTACCCACGATATTGGTTCCCTTGTCGTTCCATCGTCCGGCTGCGAAATCCCCGCGACCACGAAAGCCTCGGCGGAAACTGCAAAACGACCATGATGGCAATGATTAGTCCGGCGCTGGAGAGCATGGTAGAGACCCTGTCGACAGTGAAGTTCGCGAGCAGAGCCAAGAACATCAAGAACCAGCCCATCGTCAACGAGGACTTCGACCAAAAGGTGTGCCAAAAGCAAACTGACGTAAGTTCACAACCGAATGAACCCCCTGTTCCCCGGACGCCCATCTGTCGTTCTATTGGCCGTGAGCCAATGGAATGCGAGCTCTAACCCCGCCCGTTTTACACCGCAGTCGTTGCTGAGGAAGTACGAGAGAGAGTTGAAACGACTAAGGGCGGAGCTCGAGGAGCGAAGCCGCAACCTGGTGGACAAGCGGCAGCTGCTGTTTGTCGAGGGGGAGAGGAGGCGCGCAGAGGCTGATAAAATGGCCGCAATCCGGGCGCTTGAGGTGACGGGATTCTCTTCTTGTTGTTCAAGGGGTCTCATCTGATTGTTGTTCATTTGGCAACCAGCTTCCGCGTGGCTCTTTCACTTGTTTTTGTTTGCTCAAGAGCGACGCCGAGGATCCAAGAACGATGGCGGCAAGTTGTCGTTTTCTCTTATCTATCCCATCCGGAATGGCTTTCTCTCATACACCTTCCTTGCTCCTCCTACAACCGGGTAGTAGACCAGATTGAGCGATCACAGGCCCAGCCCCCACAACAAAAGTACAATAGCAACAAATAACGAACACTCCTGTAGTCAAAACAAGAGAAACTGACCAAGGCATCAAGTCGCACATGAAGTAGGGCAGTTCAAACACCTACTCGCTCCGACCCTTTTTAAACGAAGTTCACTCTCCAAAGGCAGACAGCTTGGGGAAGCTGCCTGCAAGACCCGATTGATTTGTCACGCACGTTCGTCGCGTTTGCGTACATCCAGGAACGCTCGTTGGAGTTCCAGCGGGAGAAGGAAGAGAAGAGGCTCCTGGAAGGGCGCATCGCAATGCTCACGGGACAAATGATCGGGAGGGGAAGACGCTCAGACGGGGGCGCTGAGGGCGTGGTGAGAGACATGCCCAGGAATTGGCCTAAAGGCGAATGGTTTCCTCGCATTTTTGTCGCAGCGCGGGTCATGGCCGAGGTCCCTAGTTGAAGGCCTTTCGCATGGGAATGAACTATCAACTCTTTGTAGGTTGCGGGTGGCCAGAAGCTAGGAGGCGACCGTATTGTGTGGTGGCCACGATACACAGCATACGTAGATGTCCTGTCGTTCCGCAAGCGTCATAATCGAAGAAAGCGCAGGTGTACTGTTCAATGACGCTCCTTGCTGTGCTACCGTCTACTCTTCGCGGCATATGATAGGACTACGCCGACCGCTTAGCGGACCTCGAGCGAGAGCGCAACACCATTGAGCTAGAAAAGGAGCAGGTGACAATATTCCTGATAATTCTTTGCGTTTTTTCATGTTTTTGTTGATGATGTTGTTGAGATTGCCAATGACGAACAAAACTCGTGTGATCCTATCCTTGGCTCCCTCTACATAGGGTAGGAACAGAGGAATGCAGTTCCACAAAGAGGGTCTAACTATCGGCCAGGACTTTCTAGCGCCAGCAGCGTCTCGTATGGTCGACTTTCAGACTGCTACATTGCGGAACCTGCAGGTGGTCAAGGTGTTTCTAAGACCCAAGCAATGAGAAAAAGAAAGATGGTTCGACACAACGAGTTGCTGCAAGTTGTGGGTGGGACACTGCGCCCCACGTCTCCCTACGAAATGCGGAAGAAGTGCTGATCGGTAACAGACGATGTCGTCCGTGTGCCCTCACACCCCGCACCGGCTGTTCCCCCCTCTTGTGATGCTACGGGACACGGCCCGCCGACAGGTGGAGAGGTATAAGCAACTGCTCATGAAACAAAGAGACATCATGATAGCCTTAACTCAACGCCTGAACGAAAGGGACGATGCGGTGAGCTTGCAGCACCGGCAACATGCTTGGTTCCACATCTTTACAAGAAGAGACCAACGATGCTGCCGGACCTGAGACTTTCCCTTTTATGGCGGTGCACGAGGTCTCGTGCTCAGCATCCCGAAAGTCGGTTGAGAGCAGTATTGGGACCATGTCTCGGCAAAGATCAATGTACACGTCCTGGTGCATCGCTAGGGTTGGGTTGTCATGCGGAAAAAGACAAGAACATTGTTGACTTCTGCCATGCTGACTTCGCCTGCTCTCCTCACACCGCTCTCTTCGTCTATCACTCTTGTGGGAACGAGAGGAGACTTGTGTCAGCCTTACACGAATTCGTTTTGCCCTCCTAGAAAGAGAAGTCTCCCCAAAGCACGGTATTCTCTTGCGATTTCTCAACGGCAAGCGATCACCTCGACGGAGGGAACGGACGCATGGGTGGTATCGCTTGCGTATCAACCATGCATGGGCAAGATGAGTCTTCGACCGGCAAAACGCCGGCGATCCAGCAAATGCAGCCTTTTCTCGGTCTCTCTCAGAGAATAACCTGAACTTTCTTGCGGTTGTCGTGCCTTTGGTGTTCTCTTGTCTTGTCACAGATTTGCGCGCTGAATGATGAGCTAGAGGCGAGCGAAAGTCACCAAGAGGTGCGAACTACAAAACCAAAGGGTATTATGTTTGCTTTGCCGCGTGTCGCCTCTTAGCGCGGCACTCAGACTCCGTTCGTGTAGTTGTCACGTGAATGCGATCGTGGTATCATTACATTTCCTGCCACGTTCTTCGTTGCACTCTTGCAAGTGCCACTGAATGGAACGGCCGAAAGCTTGGAATCTACATCCAGAATGAAGAACCGTTTTCCCCAACCCGCCGTCCTTATGACGACAGCTGATAGAGGATGCGCTTGACATGCGCACGCAACAGCTGTTCCACCTCCAAAAGGCATTAGTGATGCACGGCGGCAACGGAGCGGAAGGCGGGAATGTTGGTGACGATCAGGTGTGCGCAGCAGCTTCGGATGCATCCACCATTCCGGGCCATTCAGGTCGATCGAATCTCGACAGACGGGTACGAGAATAGCTAATGCACGTAGTGGGCTTTTCTGAGGGGGAGACATGTTGTGGCTTAGTCCGCCACACGTCGAGGGTTCCACGCCGTACTTACATCAGCATGCACCAGATTGAATCTTCTCCGCTTCGTACTTCATGTTCTCATCGCGTGTGGCCTAACAGACGTTAGATGGCTGGATAGACTCACCTGGTGCAACGGCAGCAGCCACAAAAGTTGCGGCAGGGTCGGACAAGTTTTTGTCAGTACGCCCCGCACTCCACAATCGGCAGCAGCAGCAGCAGCAACACCAGCAGCGTCCTTCGACCGCTCCCCAATCGTCTTCCTCTTTCTCTTCCGGAAAAAGCTCAAATGTCAACTTCGAGGCACCAGAACCGCTGGGGGGAAGGAGGTGTGGAGACGCTGGAGTGTCCTCCTCGACAACGCCAACAGAGCTACATTACCGTTCGGTAAGCGGTAACACCATCTTCTCACCCAATGGCAGCACCACCAAGGGTAGCGCTACCCCAGCAGCTGTATTCGGAGGCAGGGAAGAAGCTCACAACCCCCCGCTCGAAGAAGAGCTCATTTCCTTCCCCAGGTTCAAGCCACACGCGCTGATGCAGCCTACGTTGTTCAGCACCGACGATCCAGCCGGAGGGGTTTCCTTTCATGATGGAGGTATTCTTTCACGTGAGGATGGCGAACAGGGAGGCGAAGGCGACCGTGGGGGCGGGGGTGGAGGCGCTGGACGGGGAGAAGCGCTGAAAAGGGCGGGGGTGGGAGGTGCAAAATTGCTGAACGCTTGGGAGAAGATCGAGGAGTTGGAAGGGCTGGTAGAGTCAAGCCGGTCTCACAACGAGAGGTAGGGGGACAGTCCAAGCCTTCGAGCGCTTGTTATAGTTTTTCTTGCATATCCAGGTATCCTTGATACCATATTGATGAGCTATTGTGATGTCGACACCAAAGAATGCCACCGGGTGGTGGATGGTAGGTTGACAACATTCCTGAGTTCAGCTCTCTCATGCCGTAGCGTCATGCTGCTGTGCAAAGAGTGCCTTTCCCTCCATTACCGCAGGTTGCTCAAAGACCTGGAGGAGGTGCAAACCGACAAGGTTTCCATGGAGTATCTCCTTCGCGAGAAACTGGAACGGCTGGTTCAGTCCGAGATCGAGGCGCGAGTTGCCCGAATGCATCAGGTACGAAAACCAACGTATATTAGTCGCTCGGTGCCTTCACTTCGGGGAGTGTTTATCTCGTCCGCGCTTGCAATTGTCGCCTGCCCCTCGCTAACGAATTTCATCGCCGCTACTGACGTGCCACAGACTCCGGGCTGCGTCAGAAGTTCGGCAACGAAACGCGATCACCGAGAACGCTAATTTATTCTTCTTGCGAACGTTTAAAGCCGCATGATCGGCGCTCTGAATTCTCTCGCCTCTGCCAACAGCATCTGCCTCCTCCGTCTGGATCGCGTTAGAACATAGCCCTGTTTCGCACACACTCAGACCATTACCTTATTCGAACCGAAACTCAGCCAGCTAACTAGTCGCCCCATCCCCCCTTCCCCGCGCGCCGGATCTCAAGGATGGCGGAGTCGACGAAATATTGCGGCGCCAGCTGGACGGCCTTCGGGTAGAAGCTGCCGCAAGGGCAAGGAGCGAAGCTGTTCTGAGGGAGGAAATCCGTTGTCTCAAGAGCAGGTAACGTGACCGTCGAGTTTTTTCATGGATTGGGTCTGATATATCCCTTCGCTCACTACAAAGAGCAAGGCAAACTGCATACGATTACCCTTTCGCGGCCTCTTGCACGGACTGGTGCCCCCACATGTTGCGAACTGCTTCACCTCGATGTTTTTCGGTTCATGAGTATTTCGTCCCCGGCTGTAGTATAGAGTGACCAGTCAATATTGGAACTGGGTTCCGGTACTGAAAATGTAACAGGCTATTAACTTACAATACTTCTCGTTGCAGTATTGTCCGAATGGTACGACTAGTTGACCTTCGCGAAGCTGTGGTGTGCAGATCATCTGTGGTGTTCTTATCGATGGCGTTTTGGAACATGCACAACACAGCGCACTCACGCAACGCCCTCTTACGGAGCGCCAAGGGCCGGAGGATGAAATCGCGACCGAGGTCCTAGCCAGGACTACTCAGGAGCTCGAGGAGCTTCGCTGCGAGAATGCGGAGTTACGAAAGCAAATGCTTGCTCCGGCATTGCGGCGCGAGGTGCGCAGCACGACTGGGGTGTAGCAACACAAACAACCTCGCAGGGATGCGTCTGCGACTGATCGTGTACCGTTGCTTCTTAAGTTCTTACTCGTCTACCCGATCACTCATTTCGTTAAGACATGGAGGCGCAGACGACTCTGGCCAGGGCACGGCTTCTCTCATTGACTACAATAGGACGAGGAGGTGTTTTCCTTCGCGGTTTTTGACCTTGCAGTCTTTTCGGAGGAACACCGCGCACTGGTTGATTTCTCGGGCAATTGACAAGGAAGGGGAGCTCCTTCGGCCACCGCAGCACGCAGTCCAGTCTCGTCTTGCATGAGCGCCAGTGTTTGGAAAAAGTCGGACTTCACAACAAGCTTACCCCACGTACTCCCCATACGCTGGTGTGTAGTCCATCCATTTTGGCTCTCTCTTCGGCGAGGCAGGATGCTAACACTATATCTGAGAACCGAGAGGCGGGAAAGGAAGGGGAAGACGACCGAAGTAGCGTTGCGCATGGCAGCGCCCAGGACGCGGCGCTGCAGAACCGTTGTGAAGCTTTGCTAGGAGAGCGGAAGGCGATGCAGGCAAGTTCAGAGACGAACGGTACCAAATGGTAAATAACCCATGGGGAAGCGACGCGTAGGCAGCATTGACAAAATACTTGATGTTCGTAGAATATGCCTGTTGGAACACCATGTTGCAAAGGCGGAGGACATATTCCGGTAGAACACGATGTTGCCTATTGCATAGGCGCGGTAGGGTAGCCCCGGAAGGGTTGTTCTCAGTTCTGATTCACACCGTTGGAACCCCCTAAAAGGCTGCCCCCGCTCGTTCGTCAATCGCGTATTGCGTTCGCTTTTGTTAATTCCCCAGGTTCTGTAAGCTGGACCCCACCATGGGCGTGTGCGGCATCCCTCTAATCAGGATTTTGTTCGCACCACCGGTAGCCGAACAGTAGATATGTTGCTTCCCTGGTCGACCGGGGTGTCGAACTGCGAGACCACAAGTTGTTGTCTAGCGCCGTATGCACAGCACACGAGAGAGACGAGACAAACTTGGTATACCCATCCCTTTCAATCAAACCTTGGGTCGTAGAACCAACCGGTCCAAACCCGATTGTGATGCCTGCGCATTGCGGTCAGGGCCCATGTCTAGCGCGAACGCCAACCTTGTCGATCTTTCGGCTACATCTTCAGGCCATACGCCACATTAGCAGTCGCAAACACCGACTATCTTCCTTTATCGACGTTTGTCTGTGTGGACACTCGCTTTGAAGCCGTTGTTGTCCGCTCTTGGGCACCGAAAGCCACTCTCCATAGCACCGCACGGCAGAACATCGAATAACCTTGTGACTACTCCAGAATGTTTCCACCGCATCGTTTGCATCGAAAACGCCGTCCGGCGGGTGTCGTTTCACCCGATTTTGCCTCCTTCCCAATCAGCAGCTACACGTAGGCTCCCGACGCTCTGTCGAATCTTGACGACGACGACGGCCCCATACAACGAAGCCCGCCTCCCCGCTGACGTCGTCACTTCCCCTCGTGCCCTTGCGTTTTTGTGTCAGACCATCATGGAGCAAAAGGTAAAGGTGCTGGTGGACAACGTGGCCGACTCCGCATGTGCTGTTCTCGACCTCGTAGCGGCCTCCCAAAGTGGTGCGGACAACCACCGTGCTGGTGATGGTTATTCTGGCAGTACTGATCACGCGCAGGTAGTACTGCCATCGCCATCCTTGGCTCCGGCTGGAGGAACCGAGTCGGCAGCCGAAGGTGAGGTATCGAGAGCGGGAACGGAGTCCTCGTCGTCCCCAGCCGCTAGAGAAGCAGCCGGAAGGGCACTAAGCAAGGACGTGGGCCAGCTGCGGAGGCTGGTTCAAGCTGCCATAACAGCGTTAAGAAACGCTGATGCGGAGGATCAGCAGCGAGGCATAACGGCGACGGCTTCGTCTCCGCACAGTGAGGAACACGACCGGAAAACCTGACGTAGGCTCGCAAGATATAGGTGGAAAGGCAGGGTGCGGAACAGAAATGGTCATCGTGCTCTCACGACGGATGGAGCTGCATTTCTCCTGGGGCTCAACAATCATTTTTGCCGCCTAGACGTCGACAAGGGCTCGAGTGCCGACAACCACACTTTGACAAGCGGGCGGGTATGACATCAACACTCAACGCCCTGAATGGCTAGGTACAAAGAGGTCAAGGCTAATACTGTGGCACTGGGGAATCTTGGGCCGCCAGATACCATCGAGGGAATGATGTGCACGAAAGCTGACGTGCAATCTAGATATAACTTCTCTTGCAGAAACGTTAAGCCGCCTTGGTACAAGCTCGTATCCCCTGAATCAGCATGTCAGTGTCGAGGGGCTGCTCGAATAGAGCGAGTGGGGTGAGGAAAATGTGTGGATGAGGAGGGTATTTAGTGGCTTCACCCCCCCCGACACTGATTTTGGATACTATTGCAAATGGCCGGCCATATTATGCAAGGTCCGGCCTCGAAAAGGCCGTTTGAGCCCCCCCGCTAACCCCCAAAATACTCGCTCTTGTAGAAAACACCACTAGCTTAGAGGTTTACTTCGCCCTGCCGCTCCAATATCGTGGCGGGCGCTCATGGAGAGACATTCCGTTTAGCGTGGCGTTGACGCTGCAAAACGTCTTGCTTTGGTGGTCTCGTTTTCTCTGGAGCCGTTCATTGTATGCATGTTTCACTGCTGTAGATCGTTCTGTCCTCCAGCAGTATGGCCCGCGACGTTCGGACGTCCCTCTAGTGAACATCGTAGGAATGAATATTGGAGTCTGCCTTACCGGCCGGCATGAGCGTAGTGAAAGTCGAAATTCAGCCACAGAAATAGGTCATGGAGACAACTGCAAAATCCATATCCTAAGGAACTTGATGAGATCCGCTTTGTCACGGGTGGCCAGAGGGCAGGTTGTGGGTGGGTTGTGAGCATCCACAAGGTAGGGGCAGGTTGTAGAGGGGGGTTGGGAGGAGGCCCCAACCTTGGCCAAACGGCTTGGTTGTACAAGGACGGATGCGGAAGGTTGGGAGGCAGCCACAACGTCAGGCCACATCGCTTAGTTGTGCAAGCACCGATGATACAGGTTTGGGGGCAGCCACAACCTCAGGCCAGACCTCCTGGTTGTGAAAGCACCGATGATACAGGTTGGGAGGCGGTCGCAACCGAAGGCCAGACCTTCTGGCTGTAATGTTGTGTCGGTTCGACGGTCCGGGATAACTGGACTTGTAGTCTAGTCTAATACTTGAAATTATTTTTTGTCCGGCCGGACAAAAACGCAACAAGTTCGTCTCCAACACAGCTATGTAGATATACGAACCCAGGATAATGCGAAATGAATGCATACACTACTCGATTTGGGATTTTGTGTGATTGTGTACGGGGTTTCACGAGTGCTATTTGTGTACCAGCTACAGGGTACAACAAAGCTCTCCATCTCAGATCCCGTAATGAATCCCGCCAGACATGTGGGAAGAGGGGGTGGGGGCATCCGAACCAACGAGCCCCCTGCAGAAATATGCGAGCCCCCTGCAGAAATATGCGAGCCCCCTGCAGAAATATGCGAGCCCCCTGCAGAAATATGCATGGCTTTGTTTGGCCCTGCATCGCCCTCGTGTGACGAGCTAGCTAGCCTTGACACAGGCGACCAGAAGCCGCAGCATGCCAAGACGAATAGCGACCAGGCTGGTGTCATTCCTTTCGTAACCTTTCGTAACCAAGGCAAGCAGCTATACTACAGGTATAGAATGTTTGTTTTTCTCCCATTATTGGACTCCGACGTCTGCACCTCTGGCCCCTATCCTCCACTTCTACCAGCTAGACGACCCAACCGGGGTCACGTAGGAGGGGGGGGTTGGATCCTGCGTTTCCTGCCTGAGATCTTGTTATCGCGAGAAGGGTACAGCAATCCCTTCCCTCGCGACTTATGAAGTCGATCAGGTTTACTAACAACGAGCTTTGCAGCGCGTTGCTTCCAACGGAGACACTTCTTGACTGCCAAGTTCTTAAGTGCGAGCGCCATCTTTATCTTCTGACCATGATGTAGTGCCGGAAGCAACATAGACATGGGCCTACTCTATTTGATGTATATATTGTTGCGCAACACGCATGGCAACGATCGGGGGGCAAAACAAAGACTGAGAAAAAGTGAGAGATAGGCGATGACATACTATACATGCGCTGCCGCTCTCTGAAAAAGTCAATACGACAACACGTGCGTGCGTTCTTACGTACGTCTGTCTCCCAAGAATAATAATAGTGATGGAGTATAGTATCCTTACATAGAAATCTCTACTGACAAGATTTGCGCACTCAGCATAAAATAATGCTATACTTCGTATTGATGTTGTTGCTTCTGTGGAACATAAAAACTTAGCTGACCAAAAACTTGCCATTGAACGATTGGTAATGGAAGACATTACTCGGAGTTTCTGCTTTTTGCGTGGGGGGGACGGCAGAGTAAGTGTGCTCTTATCGGCCGCGTGGGTGGTGTTGCGACAACTGTTCCCGCCCCCATCACTCCCTCCCTCGGTGTTTGCCATCGGGATTGGGTTTTCGTCGCTTGGCAACGACGTTGTAAAACAAGCCAATTCACTTCGTGAACTCGGCAACCAGGCTACCGTTGATGTTTCACCTCTGTTTTTTTTTGGCGGTAACCATAATGCATGGTGGTCGAGTAGATCATGTTGTGCGGAGTGGAGAACCCTCACTCCGCGTAAGGGGGATCATCGCACCACGTTCTGTTCTAATAGTCAAGCACTCTCGAGGCAGTTACACAGTGCTCCCAACTGTCTCTGGAAGTGAAAGCACCAGAAAATATATTAAGTCATACGCAGCTATCATTCGTACGCAAGGAAGTAAGCACAAGATGCCGAACACCCTTAGCAGTATGCAGCGCACCTTTCACGCGACTCGCCGAATATCTCACGGAGCTTCGCGCTTGGTGATGTGAGAGCCTGGTCCGGTGAGAACCCGGCGTGCTCCGTCCCGGCTTTGTAGGGATGCGAGGTCAA